TAGTCTGAATCTCATCAGGCAATTGCTCCTTTGATTCAGTAGTCTTATCTTCAATATGTTTTTTCGTTGGTTCAATGGTATTGGAAGAAGCTGAATTCATAATTTCAACATTTGAAAAATCAGCTCCTTTGCTATCATGAATCAATTGATAGCCAATATTAGAATTTTCCGATGTTGGCAATTCATCAAACACATGGGTGGTCATTGTGTTTGGTTTGTCTCGATTAATGTATACAGAAATCAGCTCTCTTACTACTATGAATTAATTGTTTGTCAATGTCAAAACCTTTTGGTGTTGGCAATTCATCGACACCTGAGGGTCTTTATGTTTGAGTTGTTTTGCTTCATAACAAATTTCCATGATCCCTCAATCTCAGAACGAATCTTGAACATTTGTCCCAATTTTATTGAGATTGCCGCAGAGAATGATCCGTGGTGAAGAGGGAGATTTTCTCGTAATTTTGTTTATGAGAAAACAAATCGCTTTCGAATGGCATCAATGAAATGGTTACATCCGACCATTTGTTGCCATCTTTGCATTCACCGAAACCATTTTTAGCTATCCCTTCCATCCGAAAAGATGCCATTGTAACTCGATAATGATAGTCTATTTGATAAATTTAAAAAATCTCTTGAGCTGAGGCGATCCACTCCTCTGGATCTTTTCCAGTAAACGATGACAACTTCACACGAGCAGATTTTGGAGGAAAAAGAAAATCGCCTTCCATCTCCTCTCCTCTCAATGAAAGCACTAATGTTATGAATTCAATAACTCACTATTATGAATTGAAATATTCAAGCTGAATTTTCATTGAAGAGCAAGAAATACAGCAATAGAGAAAATAAGAGAGAAGATTAGAGGAGATAACAAATTGTCACATTCATGTTCTCCTTTTCCAATTCTCCTTTAATCTTCTCTCTTAATTTTCTTGCTATTTGTATTTTTTCTTGTTCTTCAATGAAAATTCAACTCGAAAATTTAATTCGTAATAGTGAGTTCATAACAAGTACTAAATGTCTCTTACTGGAGACAGGTTGCGGACAGATGATGAAATCATCGGCAATTGCTGAAAACTTCAAATTGTAGTGGCTGGCAAATTTTGAAATTAAAGTAGCAATAGGGTGACTTTAAAATAGTCATCTTCAAGTGAGGACGAATTTATCATTTATCGCAAGTTTTTAAATATTTTTCATTTGAGGTCAAGTTTGAAACTTTTCATTTGAAATTTAGAAGAGAAAAACATTATATTAGAGTTATTTAATGTACTTACTAATAAGGATAAAGTACACAAATGATTCTCGATTACATGGTGTTGTTTTATTGAGTCATCTGGTTATTAAAAGTTATAAAATAGTCTTCCGATTATAAGGCGATGCTTTACAGAGTCTTCTGTCTATTAAAAATTATAAAATGATCATCTAACTATTCATATGTTCTAAACTCGTCTTTTTTCGTTAAAAAATTTAATGATCGTCTAAAATAGACGTTAACATGCTATCTAGGATATGATAAAATCATATTTTAATGATGTCTACTGGCACTATCATTGTAATGAACAAAAAAAGACAAATTTGAAACATATGAATAATCTAATAATTAAATTATAATTCTCAATAGTCGAAGACTCAACAAATTTTATCATAGTCCAATGAACAAGTTAATGTCCAATGAACAAATTTTCCGTTAAAATCATAGTCCAATGAACAAGTTAATGTCAAGCTCACACGACAGCTATTTTTTTAACAAAAAAGGACAAATTTGAAACATATGAATAATCTAATAATTAAATTATAATTCTCAATAGTCAAAGACTCAACAAAGCAGCACATCATATTCGGGTCTATTTTCATAAGGAAAAAAGGAAAATTTGAAGAAGTAATTAAAACATAGTGTTTAAATATTCCTTAAAATTATGTAACGAAATTAAAAAACGTGATTTGATTTTTTGTTAATAATAAAACATTCAGCACACCACGTAGTGAAAAGCCTATCACTAGGGATGGCAAGTGGGTACAATTTTGTGGATTCCGTACCGCACCCGCTCCAATTGGGGCGGGGATGGGTATAATTTTAGTGGGTAGTGGGCGGGTGTGGATTTAGAAAGTGGTACTCGTCGCGGGTAGTGGGCGGGTAATGGGTTTGAGACCTTACCCGCCCCGCATCCGCACCGCATCCACCCGACCCTCATCCGCCCGCACCGCATCCACCCACCCCACATCCGCCCGCCCAACTAAATATCCATTAAATTTTGGACCATTATGAATTTAGGTGTAATTTTAAGAGACTAATTTATAAATCCTAATATTGTATAAGATATAACTTGTAATTTAACCAAATATTAGGGATAAGTTTATGCATAAATTTTTTTCTTTCAAACCTCTTGTCTTCACTCTCCAGCTTATTCAGGTATCTTTTTTCCCTTTTTACTTGAAATTTAATTTTTGTAAGAGTCAATTCCGTAGTCATTTCGTTTTAAGCTCCTTTGCATTTCGTTTTAAGAGTTTAATTTTTATTTGCTCGTACTGATTTTTTATTATTTTTTAGATTCATCTTAATATTTGTTTTAAGCTTAATTTCTTAATGTTCTACAAATCAGTATCTTGTGACTGAGCACCCACGTTTTTTGCTAACAGAGTCAGATCGTTGCTTCTCAAATCTCTATTTTTAACGCCACTGAATAGAATTAAGTGTTTCACTTGTGCTTCTCAAACCTCCATTTTTAACGCCATTGAAACTGACTTTTTCAAATTCAAATTTCAACCGAATATATTGCAATATTGGTGTTTTATTATGGTGTTTTATGAGAATGATGATTGTAATACTGGAGTATCAGATGTCACAAGTATTGCTTGAAATTTTAGAATGTTGTGCCAAAGAACAAAAACATTATGTGTTTGTCATTTATGTTTCTAGACTTTAATTATGTCTTTTATTATGATGTTTTATGTACTTTAAGATCTATATTAACACTTAACTCAGATAATCATTGGTTTATTTTATTATGTTTATTAATAGATGTGTTTGTTTTATGTTTGTTGCTTATGTATAACTTAAGTTTGTTGTCAGGCGGGTCTAGGCGGGTACGTCTCCAGTGGGTAGTGGGTGTGGGGATGGATTTGAGAATGTACCCGCGTGGGCAGGTGTGGATTTGAAAATTTTTACCCATCATGGGTGGTGGGCGGGTGGTAGATTGAAAAATATTAGGTGGGTATGGGGATGGGGGAGGGGGTATCCGCACCCGACCCGCCCGTTTGCCATCCCTACCTAGCACAAAAGCAACTCAAAATCGGTTATATTATAATCTCGAGTGGATAAATATTATATTTTAATATATAAAATCTATTTTTAATAATTTAAAATTAAATATTGTTTTCAATAATTATATTTTTATAATAATATTATTTTTCACCTCATAAAATTATAAATAATTAATATATAGAATATTAAAAATATAAAATAATTTTAAATACTCAAATTTATTAATATTTTACTAAATTAAACTTTTTATATATTATTATTATGTTTATTATTTTGAATAAAATACAAAAAATAAGATTCGAGAAAGATCATTATAAAAAAATTTATTAGTCTAGGAGCATTGTTGTACAAATTTGTGAAAATTATTTAATACCTAAGAATTTGAAGGTAATGATATTCTCACATTTTTAACCAAAATATATTACTATTGGAAAAAGGTTATTCCCTTTTAATATTCTTTCTGTGAACCAACTGTGGAAATGCAATTCTAAAAAAGATTATGCCCCTTAAGTGGCATTTGGTTCGCAAAAAAAATCATTACCGTGGGGAATAATCTTTTCTAAAATCACATACCCATGTTGGTTAAGGAGTATTCCCTCCGGAAGTAATAAAGCATTACCTATAGTGGCGTTTTTTTAGGCTTTTCCCGAAAATGTCATTCCCCTTGTTTTCTTAGGTATTTGTCAATTCCCTACATTTAGGACGAAAGTGCCTTTGAAACAATATGGTTATTTCAAAATAATCCTTCCTTTGTGCATACATACATTGATATATATTTATTTATTTCTTTTATTTTTTATTATGGTTCTATATATTTTAATACTTATTATAAAATAATATGATGCATATAATAAAAAGTAAAAAAATACTAAATTTCGATTTTATTTTGAGTATTTATTTTGTATATGCTTGATTCAAGTTTTATTTTTTATGTATTTTGTTACGTTTACTTTTTAGGATTAATTTTCGTAAAAAAGTTTTTTATATTATATTTTTTTATGTTTCCTATTAATCTTGTCGGATAATTTGATATAATATTTCGTTGTACAACTCATACATGTAGCATAAATAAAATAAAAAAGTCTAACAATTAACACATACTTATATTGGTGTAAGTTTGTACATCTCTTAATATCTTAACAATTAACACATACTTATACTGGTGCAAGTATGTGCATCTCTCAATATCCTAGACATTAACACATACTTTCACAAGTGTATGTATATATCTCAATATCTTAGCAATTAACACATACTTACACCGGTGTAAGTATGTACATCTCTCAATATTTTAGTATCTAAAAATTAGCATATAATTATATTAGTGTAAGTATGTTTTTATATTTTTAAAGAAATAATATATATATATATATATATATTAGATAATATAAAATTTTATTTTCTATGAAATTTCGAGTAAATATTTTCTATGAATTTTATTGATAGTTTGTGGAAGTCGATTTGGTGGACAAACATGAGCTCATATAACTTGCTTAGCCCATAATTTATATACTCTATGTTAGTTGAATTAATCGATCGAATTGAAGGTCGAATCGGTTTAACCTTGTAGCCCTGTTTTTCAAACATCAATATTACTTCAATAAACATGTTTCACTCTCATTACAATATGTTTTAATACTTCAATGACAAGTAACTAAATGCAATTGTGTTAGCAACAAGAAACTAATTTTGAATTTTCTTTAACGCCTTTGTGTTTTTCTGGTATTATTTGGTAAGAATACTAAAATTTAACTTGGGCTAATGATACCTCGTGTCTACAAAAATCAACTTCAGTTGTTAGAATCTCATCCGCCCAAACCATGTACTCATTGTCTATTTTCATGTCAGGCAAATCAATCAACTCAACATTCTCCGGCCAGTGCCTGACGGCGTTGTCATTCAACAAAAATCGGTTATGAAGATAAGACGTATGGTTCTCGAGACCACACTGTCCGAAGAGCTCCTCCCATGAATCCGAAGCCGATGGAGGTTCCCACAATCCGGTAATCGATGACTCATCCTTCCACAATTCTTTAACGGATACCACTTGATCCACATTAGTTTTCAATTGCTGGACAAGTTTGTATTCTTTCACGGTTTTCTTCACTACGTACTGATCTCCCGTTGTGTCCTTCTCATGGCTTGCTTCATTGGCATTGACCGTAACATTGGCATTGACCGTAACATTGAGCACAGAGGAAGAAGAAGGCTGAACCGACAATGAATTCTTATTATTCTCGGTCGCCATCATCTTGTACTCGTGTTTCCTTTTCTGATAAGCAGCAATAGCTTCCTCCATAGTGCCGTGGGTGCCAAGCCATTCACGTTTCTTGGTGAAGGGGTCTCTAATTTCCGCAGCAAACTTGCCCGAAGGCCTTCGTCGAACACCCGTGGACATGGTGCAAGATTTTCGACGTCTCTTGCCATCGTCTTCCGAAGAATCGGTGGGAACAGCTGAAAAAGTAATCTCCTTGACAGATAGCTTGATACCCGGAATTCGATTCTTCGTTTTGTTCATCACTTCTTCGTCCGTGGATGAATCTGTAGCATAAGGATCACTATATATGATTCGAGTCTTCCTCGGAAAACTCGAACCCGGCTTCATGATTGTTCTTCACTCAAGTTATTGCATGGCATTGCATTGTGAAAATCAGAAGGCAAAGCTCTTCCTCTTCGATGGTTGATTTATACATAGGAAAGGGGAGTGAATAAAAGGGAACAAAATATTTAACGTATCTTTCTGACAGTCTTGATCATCAAGAAAAACCATAAACTTTTGAATTTATTAAAGGCGGTCTCCATTATTAAGAAATCAATAACTTTTAAGCAAGAAAAGGTTTAATCGCCAACGATTAAATTTAATAAAGGGTAAGCTATGCGGATGGTCTCTTATTTTAGGGTCTGACCGACTTTGGTCACCAATTTAAAAATTAAGTGGAAATTATCCCTAACGTTATCGATCCATTCGATTTTAGTTCCTTATCCCTAACATGGTTGAGAGACTGAAATCGAATGTGAGTTAATGGCTAAGGGACTAATATCGAACGGATCGATAACGTTAGAGACCATTCCCCTTAATTTTTAAATTGGTGAGCAAAGTCGGTCAGACAAAAAAACATAGTATACTATCTGCATAGTTTACCCTTAAATAAATCCAATAAACGTTTACCAATTTAGGGATTTTTTTCTTGAAAAAAATAGTTTTAATAATAAAAAAGGGTAATTTCTTTTATATAGTATATTCAGTCATCATTGAGTAATTTTGAAAAGGTGTAATTATTAGATAAGACTCTCATCATCTTGTAATTAGAAGGAATTTTAATAGCTTAAGTATATTTAGTTAATATCCACTAATTAAAAAAAATAAATAAAAATGATTGTGTTACCAAATTATTACATTTTTTTATTTTGGTCCTTGAATTCTTTTAATTAAACTGTGACTAACGCTACTTTTTTTTTCATGTCGTTTTTTTAATAAATTAATATTCTTCGATACAATATTAACATATATCACCACTTTATTAGTCAATCAAAATTATATCAAATATTAAGGTAGGAAAAATTTAAACTCAGATCTCCTATTATAGGGGTCCACACATATTTGAATACTTGTTATATAATTTTTTTATAAAAATTAATATTTAAATTAAAATTTTATTGAGATTAAGTATAGTTATTTTATAAAAATATATTAATTATAATATAAATTTTAAAATATTTTAAAAATATATTTTATATTAATTTTGACCCGGACAATTTGAAAAATCCAGAATGCCACATTTAGTCACCGGAGCAATCGAGTTTGTTTTTCGAAAGGTGTTTAACCAAATGATAATAATTAATATAAAATAAAAATAATAAATCATATCATAATCCATGAACTTTAAAATGTATTCAATTTGGTCCAAAACTTAATTTCTTTATTAATGCTTAATTTTAAGTCATACTTACTTGAGATTTGGTATATCCCTTTAATAACATTAATTATATAATGTAACTTTCAATTTCATGTTTGAGGTTTATTTATATTATTTGAAAATTTTACGTTTTAATTCTTAAATTGAGAATGTTCAATTAGATATCTAAATGAAATCTGATTACTTTGAAATTTTAGGTGTGACTAATTAGAAGTTAATAATGATTTGTTAAGATAAATCGCTGGAAATCTCAATGAATTTATACATGTATGGAAAATGAATATTTTACCCTTGAGTTTAATTATGAGAAATTTACGTTGCTATGAATTGCTTGGTGTTTGTTTAAATTCAATTCGTTTTCGTTTTGTTTTGTATGCATTATTAGAGTTTGATTTGTCCGATTTGTTTTGGAATCTAGTATGCATTTAAAATATCTAGGTTCTCCTACGATGAACCGATTATAGGGTGATATAGACATGAACCTGAGTCGACTTAAGCCTGACTTAAGTCGAACCATTGAATTAATTTGAAATAATTTTATCATTAAATTGACCTGACATAGCCCATACCCGGCTTAACCTCACTTCAATGATGGAACCATGTAGGTCCCGGGGGCATTACTCCCCAAATTTTTTTACCATTAAAATATAGGGATAAGTACCAATTTAGACATTTGATATATTTTGATTTTACCCACCACATTTTCTATTGTTAATTATACTTTGCCCCTGAACTAAAATCCTAGTTCCGTCCTGCCTCACTTGATATTACTTGGCTTGAAACCCGTTTGATCAACTTTTTTTTTGGAAAATGGTACTTTGTATTAATAAAATGACAAAGTACACCACCACAAGGACCTCATTAAAAAAACCTCCCTAAACCTAATTGGAGAAAAAAGAGTGTACATTGAAATGGTAATAAACAATATACATATTTTGCTATTACATAAAACAGGGAACACCCCAACCCATACACCAATCCACAAACCAACCAATTCTGAGCTGAACGAACCTTGCTAGCAACCACCATTTAGAGTTAGAAGAAAATGACAATAACTGAAAAAATGGAGCAGTAAAGCCCAAGGCTAACTTCATAACAACTCAAAGCCGAGAGCTTCAGATTACCATGCTATGATGAAAAAACAAATAACTTCTACACATAAACCTGGAATTGATCTAACAACTCTATCCAGAACTTGAATAAAATCGCTCCACAGAGACATTTCCCATTCAAAAAGAGCTCTCCTCAACTCAATCTTCCATTCCCAGAATCCATGAACCTAATAACCGAATTCACTAATCTTCCCAGATTTTTTAGTAGCTAACCCGTATATTCTAGGAAAAGATGCTTTTAAAGAAATCATTTCAGTCCAATGATCAGACCAGAAATCAATTTTAGTTCCATTACCTATTACGCACCTCACTTCAGAGAAAAAAACCACCTCAATGGAAATTAATGGATTGACAATGTTACGCCAAACCCATGAAGAATTTCGAATATTTATAGCCGTTGGGAGAATCGAATCCTGAGCATAGTTATACTTCGTAACTACTATCTTTCTCCATAAGCTGTCATTTTCCTCACTAAACCGCCAAATCCATTTATTAAGCAAAGCTCGGTTCCTAGACTTGACATCAAATATACCCAAACCCCATGAGATTTTGGCCAACAAATATTATCCCACTTTATCCAATGAATACCTCTCTCAGACATAGCATTCCAAACAAAATTGGCTATACATTTGTTAATCCTCTCAGCTATGGACTTAGGAATTGGGAATAGGGACATGCAATACACATGTAAATTAACCAAAATTGATTTAATCAACGTAAGCCTATCCCCAAGAGAAAGAAGTTACCTTTCCAGCTTTCTAGATGAGATCTAACTTTGTCCAAAATTGGTTGCCAAAGGATATTGGAATTCTTTTTATGGCCTAATGGGAGCCCCAAATAAGTCGTAAGTAGACCTGCCCATCCACAATAGATGGAATCATCCCACCTCCTTACTCTACTTTCTTCCACATTGATACCAAATATCTTAATCTTCTTCATGTTTAGCTTCAAACTAGAAGCCACTTCAAAAATTTTGAGATCACGATTAAGATTTTTTATCATATTTTCCGTTGCTTTCGAAAATATAAGAAGGTCATTTGCAAATTGAATATGGGACACTACTATGCTTCCAGACCGTACTCCAACCCCACCACAAAGACCAGATTCAACCGCTTTCTTTAACAACCCACTGAGAGCATCGCCCACAATATTAAATAGTAACGACGATAGTGGGCAGCCTTGCCTTAGTCCCCTCTTAATTGAAAAATTGTTGGAAGGACACCCATTAACTACCACAACAATCGTAGAGGTCGAGATGCATAGGTTTACCCATTTCCTCCATCTTCTACCAAAGCCCATTTTCTTTAAAATCAAATTCAGAAAATTCCAATCAACAATGTCATATGCTATACTGAAATCTGCCTTAAACAACACTGTTTCATTCTTGTTTTTAATCAACTCATCAATGATTTCATTCACAATCAGAATACAGTCTATAATCTATTTACCAGCCATAAAAGCGAACTGATTCTCTCTAAGCACTTATTTAAGGTAGCTTGCCATCCTCTTAGCCAAAACACGAGACACAATCTTATACATGCTGCCCATCAAGGAAATTGGTCTGAAATCATCAGGATAAACTGCCTAAACTTTCTTCGGGATAAGAACAATAAACGATTTATTAAAAGAATAATCTTCAACTCTACCCCAATAGAAATCGTCCATGAATTTCATAACATCTCCTTTAATGACCTTCCAAAACTTCTTAAGAAAATACAAGCTAAAACCATCCGGACCTGGAGCTCTTGATCCATCAGACGACTTAATTGTAAGCCAAACCCCCTCTTCAGAAAAATGACTTTCAATAATACTTTTAGTGGCAGCATTTAATCTCTTGAAAGGAATATCAAATCTCTTAACTGGTAGAGTTTTCACATCATTATAGCCACAACAAAAATAGTTAACAAATTCTTGTTGGATCCTTATCTAATGTTTAAGGACTGAATTATGAACCTTCAATTTCGAAATTTGATTAATTCTACCTCTTGATACAGTTGTTAGATGATTTTTGTGTGTGTTTTTATCACCTTCTTTGAACCACCCAAGTCTGGATTTTTGCAGCCATTCTCGTTCCTCCTTCCTTAAGACTGCCCACAACCTTGTCTTCATTGACACAAGCTCGGATTGGGCTGAACTATTGCTAGGATTCGAGATACACATATTTTCTAAGATATCAATCCTTTTACCAATCTCTTCGACCGAATCTAGATTCTTCTCTCAGACTACTCTATCCCAATCCTTGGTCTCAATCTTAGCCATCATCAAAACTTGATTCATAACTTTTCCCTTATTAGCTTCACATATACCCTTAATTATTTCAAAAATAATAGGGTCATCAGCCCAATGATTGAACCATTTGAAAGGCATGTAGAACTTTTTTATCTTCCTATCTTTTAGCATGACAAGTTTATGATCAGATAAACTTCTAGGAAGAGTAAATTGCATCAATTGAGGGAACATACAAGTAATATCAATTGAAATTAAGATTCTATTGAGCCTGCTCGCAACCACATTCAAACCTCCCCTAAACCATGTAAACAAACTATCCGAAATTGAAACTTCTATCAAATCCCATC